GCGGGAAAATGTCTTGAACGTGTAGTTTGACTAGTGAGTTACTGGGAAAAAAGAAGGCAGCATCTCCATCCCTGACAGTGTTTCGGAGGGCTTTACCTCTCTCCTAGGAAGGTTTAGGGCTGTGAACCCTGAGTGGAGAGAGGCAAGCGCCCTCGGTGAAGTGGGTAGACGTGAGGGGTTGGAATTAAGATGCAGCTCAATCTTCATAATTTCCTGGTAGCTGTTTTATGTGTGCCTGTGCTGCTGGCCAAAGGGACATTCTTATTTGTGTTCTTCCCCGGTTTACTTGTTTCTGCTCCATCCCATGCACAAGCACTTGGTGTTCCCATGGCAAGTTGCATCTGGGCATTACAATCCTACTGGGGGTGGGGATGGGGGGCATGCGGAGAGGGTTGTGGGTTTGGGGTTTTTTTTTTGTGTTTGTGTAGTTTTCTTTTTGTTGGAGTGAGGATGTGCATCAAGTTAACTTTCAGCAGATTGTACTCTGCATGATTTTATGGAGGGAACAGGCAGATGAAGACAAAGGAGAGGGAGGAATGGGTAGGTCATCCCCACACTTTTGGCCAGCAGAGTAGTTTTAAAATGACTGGGTAACCTTTGCATGGGGATGCTGCCTGATGTGAGGTCCGTGCTGAGGGATATAACTGAAGGTATGGATTTTGTGGTGGGGAGGGACCCAGGCTTGTTGGTGCGTGCCACCCTTAGGTCCTGCCTTTGCTGATGTGTAGAACTCTGTAAACGTGGGCAGCCCTGTATTGTCTAGGAGCAGCAACACATACCTCTCTGAACTTGCTGCGGTATCCAAATGAAAAACTCTGCTTTTGATGTTCTATGTAAGATACATGTGGTCATTTCTGCATGAATCTGATTTTCTCTTGCAACAGCCTGGGATGCCGCTACAGCTTACTGTCATCTGTAGTCTCTTCCCTGGCTGTAGCTTTTGTCCATGCTTTCATACCATGGGTCTAAGTGCTTTCTTGCTGGAGTTTGGGAAGTGGGTTGTGTTTGTGGCCTCTGGGGGAATTAGGGGGACTAACTGTGAATATTCTGATAGCCCTTCTGGACTGAACATTTTTTTTAGGGCTCTCTGCTGATGGTGGTTCTGAGAGTTAGGAGGGAGCATAATTCTCTGCTGCTTACCATTGCTGGGGGAATTCACAAATTAAAAAAAAAAAAAAAGCCTAAAAAAAGGGGTAGTTGGGAAGTTACAAAACATAGAACAAAAATCCACTGTTTAAAAAGCCCAGCTGCTGAGGCAGACAGTTCCTTGCTATAAGGTAATCAGTAAGGACTTTTCTACCCAGCTTCAGCAGGTAGAACGTTAACATCCTAGTGGTAATATGGAAGCCTAACTACTGCTTATGTAGACCTAATACATACATATATGCATTTCAAATAGGTACTTAAGACCAAAAAAGATGGTAGTGTTAGCATTAAAAATAAAAAGGGAATTAGCTTACAGAAGTTCTCTGGAATAACTAAGCCAGCTCCAAGAAAAGTAGTGAAGAAAATCAAGTCAGGTAGACAAATATAGTAATGAAGCATTTATTGTTGATAAGTGGAATATTAAATTCCACTTAGTCTGAAGAGAACATGTGGATACCTTTAGCCTGCTTAAATGCTTAAAGAGTCAGAATTATTCAGGTGAATATTAAAACTCTGGTATAGCGCATTAGGTTGTATGGGTGACCTGTTGCTCTGTGGGTGGAGGACTGTGCCTTGTCTTGCATGGGCTGCAGTCCCAGCTCTGCATTCAGAGATGTGATTCGGTCAGCATGGAGTTCCAGGTTACGTGCATTAGCTGAGTAGTTGTCAAACACGAGAAAATCTGAAACATTCCCATATACTGCAAACCAGGCTCAGGTTCATGGCTTGCTGTTTGCTGCAGGACAAATCTGTGCACCCATGCAGTTGTCGTGATTCAGCTGATGCGGGGTAGGCAAAACGCTTGACTGTGGCTCTGAGTCCTGGGTGGGACAAGAAGGCTGCATAGGCAAAGGTATCTGTCTGCTGGAGAGGCAGGAACAGAAGATGGTGTAGATGAGGTAGGGTGGTGGGTTTGCAGAAGAGGCTTTCTTGCACAAAGTTAGCTTCTCTTTATCAGTAACACTTTCATTATGTGATTTGCTTGGAAGGGTAGAACACAAAGATGGCAGAAGGAGGAATTTGGAGTGGGTTGGAGGAGATACGGGAGCAGATAGTCTGATGGTCTCTGTAGAGGCTACTCGAGGCCTTAGTGCAATAGGCTACAATAAGGAGAGAGGGAGAAAGCGGAGAAACCTAGTTCTTATTTCCAGCCTTCCAAAAAGCATGTATGAGAAAGTGTTTGGCTGTTACTTCTTCCTCTTTGCTCACAGCAGAGAAGTTAACTGCTGTGGAGTGGGAAGTCTGTCTCCATACTCAATGGCATAGAAAAGAGGGGAAAGGGTTCCCTGGAAATTCAGAAAACCCATGACAACGTGCTTTCTTTAGAAGCTCAAAGGTATGTGGTGGAGACCTTATGCAACATTTCTGTATGATTCATCATTTCCTTGGAAAAAGGAAGCTGTCAGTATTGAGTGGGAGGTTTTTTCAGATTTTCACTAGAGCAGGAAAGTAAAAGTGTCCAATCCCTCGTTTTAAACAGGAGGAGATGATGGTTATCCTGAAAGGGTATCCTTTCCCTGCCTTGCTCTTGGGAGCCCTGAGTGTCCATGGGCAGGAACTCTTTAGCTCCTTGCTGCAAAGCCAGCGAGAAGAGAAGCGCTGGAAGAGGGCAGCTCTCCCCCATGCCTAGCAGAAGCTGTGGAGAGAAAATGTGTTCCCTTTTCAGCTCTGCCATCCTCCAATCTCATTTCTGGGCTTGAAGAAGAAACACTCTTCCCCTTGCAACTCCAGCCTAACTCTTCTAACTAACTGAAAGACAGCAAAGACATTGGGGAGTTTACGTGCGTCCACAGCCCAGGCTTAGGAAGTGATGAGTGGCTGGCTGAGCAGTGGTGGCTGCCCTTGCTCATGTTCTTAGCCCCCAGCAAATGGCTACTTCCCTCCAGAAAGGGAGTCACCCTACCTTGCTCCTTTCACTAGTTGCTGTGGCTTGGCTTATGTGTGGTGACCTCAAGCCACCACAGCTTGGTTGTGTTTGTGAGCCAAAGTTACTGAGAGGTAGAACTTCACAGTGGGTGGAGCAGGGAATTTTGCTCTGTGCTAGGAATACTGTAGGTCCCTAGGCAGCAAGAGATGACTTCCTCAGGAAAACACAGTCCTAGAAATTGTCTGTATGAAACAAGTGTCTCTAACAAGACTCCAAGCTTCATCAGATCAAAATAGTGTTTCATCTTGCCTTCTTGAGGTAACCAGATGCAAATGTTGGAGCTCCTGGGTTCTTATCTTTTCTGGAAATTGTTAATTGAGATGGGTAGAAAGAGATGCTCATCCTGGAGCAGCAGGAGCAAGTGAGATCTTTACAGCTGTCTGAACGGGATAGAAGACAAAAGAAAGGCGGGTGGGTTGTGTTGAAAAGATGTGGGAGTGATAGCTGAACCCTCTTGACCCTGTTTACTTTTCTAGTTCCCGTGTCTGGAAAAGGCCACAGTGTAAGTCCAGATAAGAAGTAGAAACTGTAATGGCATGAGAAGAGTACTTTCATGGGTAAACTGCAAACAAATTTGATAGTCCATGAGAAGTAGGCATGGAGAAGACCTTCGTGTGTGCAGTGCTGTACCCAAGCGCACAGAAGTGTGTTCCCTATTGCTTGCCTTCAGTCTCCTGTCCGAGAAAGTCTTTGTTTCTTTGGTGTGGCACCAGGCAGAACATCAGGACGCTGAGCGTGCTGATGAGCATTGTCCTCTGCCAGTGTGGAACCTAATCTTTTTAATGGCTGGCCTGGCTGACCTCCTGGCTGCTTTCATATGGAAAGGAGATAGGATGTGGAGCAAGATGGGCTATAGTTTGTTTTTCTGGACTCATATATAGTGAAGGGAAGTGTTTTGATGTGATAAAGCTGTAGCATCTGCATTCATTTATGAACAGGAGTAAATTTTCATATGATGGTGACATCAGAAGCAAGGGAAGCATAGAATGATACAGGGATTGTGGTGGGTTCATGACTTGATGCCATTTAGGAATCAAAAAAAAAAAAAAAAAAATCAAACCCCAAATAGCAGCTGTCACTTGGGAGCAGTTGACTTGATGAGTAGGCTTCTGAAATATTTCTTTTTCACTGTGCACAGTTACTCGTTAAAGGGAAGTTTTCCATGGTGCATATGGGGGATCTTGGCTTAGTATGAGACCTTATTTGTATCTTAATCATGCCCTTCCTTCAACTTAGTAGTGAAAAGTTACCAGCTACCATGGAGCAGAATAGAGTCCTTAATAAAAGTGTAACTTGAACTCAGTATTGACATGTTTTTTTCTATGTGTACATACGTGTCTGCCATGGATGGCAGTAGTCTTGTGGGGTTTTTTTGTTGGTGTGGTTTGGTTTTTGTTTTTTTTTTTTTTTTAGACATATTTGTAAGTAGGAGGTGATTGCTGAAGACTGAAGCAGGGACACAGAGATGCTAATGGTTTACAGTATCCCTTCCCCACAGCAGAATTTGGTCTCATCTGTTAGATCAGTAGATTTTTTTTTTTTTCTCACATGAAGCTGTTTTTAATATAAACTAGAGAAAATCTCTTATCTCTCTTCTTTTTTGTTGTTATTTGCTTATTTATATTAAACATCTAGACCTTTTTTAGCAGACTATGGTTGATTCAAAACTGATAGCAGTTAAGGTTTCTGGACAGCTCCTGTTTCTTGCTTGCCAGCTCTGCTAGATCTCAGAAGTTGGGATGCTATTTCACATACATTGGCTGTGAAATAAACTTGCTTAAGTGTCATTTCCAAAGGAAATCCCTAGTATCCCCATGATTTCAGAGCAGGTGCTTTGAACCAAGTAGCAATTTTGTGTCTGAAGTGTGCTTTTTCCTAACTCTCTGGATATTTATGGTGGAAAAATTGCAGTTTATTTACTCAGCGGGAGCTTCAGTCTGGGTATTCTGCAACAAGATGCTGAGATAAATTTTGCTGGTGATAACAGTTCTTCATTTCATCTTTCTCACCAGACCACGGGCAGGAGGCCTAATTCAAGTGAAGAGAGGGAAAGTGCTGAGGATAGGGAAGAAAATGAGGATTATTATTCTACCTGGGGCCAGAACATGGAAACTGGATCCCTTTGCGGTGCCTGTCACGTGATTGTGCAGACAGGCTGGGTTTGGGTAATTCTTAATTGGCACGGCCTGCCTTTGCAACATTGTGATGTGCTTCTAACCTAAGTTTGAAGGTATCTGTGATAGTGCATGCAGCATTAGTCAAGCAATAGTTTATTATAAACAATTGTTAAAGTAACTTTTCTTTTTTTCCCCTGCAGCACAAATCCACTGTGAGGACGTGTTTGGCATCGTGGGAGAAAATTTTACTTTTCCAGTAAAAATAGACCAAAAAATAGGGGAAATTATTTGGACAAAAAACAAGGATAAAGTGGCTGAATGGGAAGGGCAAAAAGAACCGACATATCTTACTTCTCTCCGTAATAAAGGCTTGCTTAACAAGGAGAATGGGTGCTTGACTATATTTAACTTGGAGTTCAATGATGCTGGCATATACATGTTAGACTACGTTGATTCTGGGAAAAGAAATCATATCTTAAACTTCGTACTTACTGTGTTAGGTAAGTAATGGAAGAACTGCATAAAGACTTTGCAGCACTTTATTCACTTTAAGAAGGCTAGAAAGGGGATTGTTTATTTGGCAGGGAAGCAAACAGAAACAGAGGGGAGCTGTTCTTTGGCTCTGTTGTTAAGTTGCTTAGGCACTTCAAACAGATTTTCAAAGGTGGAATCTAATTTGTGTGCCCATCATTACTCACCTTAGAATGACTTCTGGGATGTGTGTGGATGGCACATGGTATACTTCCAGGTAGATAACCAAACTCTTTGAGCAAGCTGACCAAGTTATCCGAGGCATTATATATCTACTAAAGATGCTCCTTCAGGCATATATTATATGTGCTTGAATATCTGTGGCATCATCCTGTGCAGATCTATGCAGCTTCACTAGTAGTCTTTGGGAAATACATTTAACCAGCATGTATATTCATCCTATTGACAGTGAACCATGAGGAGTCTCAAACTAGGCACTGAAGAACCACAGACAGGGCCACTTTTAGAAATACATTTGTCTCTCACGCACATGTGTGCGCACACACGTGCACACCTTACACATACATTGTTTATCTATGCGCTCCCCTACTGCTTTTGTTGCTCCAGCTCTTGTCCCATGCTAAAATTCAAGGCACTTTATCACCAAATTAATACAGAATTTTTTCTCTCCTTTTAGCTCCCCCTCCAGAACCTGAAATAAATTGCAACATCAGTGGTGATGATGTTGTGTTAAAATGTACAGCACATTTCCAGAAGCCTCTGAATTACTCTTGGAAGTTTACTAGAATGCCATTCACTTATCAGACCCAGGAAGTTTTTATCCCTAAGAAGAATGTTGATGGTTCCGAGAAAGCTTCATGTTTCATCAAATTCTCTCAAACAGAAAAGAACTCTGAAATCTCTTTGGCTCAATGCTTTCCAGATAATAAAGGTAAGGAATGGGTCAGGTTGTATACGCAAGTCTGAGAGGATAGATTGGGAAGCAGCATGGACTTTGTAGGGTTTCTACTGACTTCTCAGGAAGTTGAATTTAAAGAGTAAAAAGCTTCAGAAGTGATTTGTCTGCTAAAAGTGTGTTTAAGGTTGGTCAAAGGTATGAGACTGACAGTTTGATGCCCCCAGAAAGATACTTTTTGTGGGGATCTCAACAGAATAAAACCTTCAGCTGTGACTTAAAATGAGTAATAATAGAGGGAGGCAGAAGATCGCTTCTGAACCTTCTGGCCTTGTGTAATTAATGCTGATGACTATTGTGCTCTTTATACTGTTTTCAGTGAACTGGAATGAAACTATTAAGTCATTTTAAGTGAGTCATCTAGTAGCCGTGAGATAAAATAATTTCTCATCTAGCCTGCATATGAGTCAATGAGCATACTTCCTTTCCTCCTTCAGAGACAGATATAAAAAGGAGAAAAGAGAGTTTTCCTGCTGTTGCTTACTGCTTTGGGACGGCCTCAGCTGAGCTTCAGGTCAGCTTGAGGCTTGCTTTTTTTCTAAACGTAGGATGAGAACACATTTGGAACCATCTGGTTTGTAGGGTAAGGCAGTCCCTAACTGACAAAATTTCCCACTTCTGGGCAAAAGTAGTTTTCATGGTTTACCAGTATAGAATTCTTCCTCCTTCACTGGAATTATGTGTTAGAGACTTGTTAGAAATGTGGTGGGTTGACGTTGTCTAGCTGCCAAGTGCCCATCAAGCTGCTCTATCACTCCCTCTCCCCAACAGGACAGAAAAATATAAAAGCCTTGTGGGTTGAGATAAGGAATTACCGAGAGATAAGGAATTACTCTTAACAGGCAAACCAGACTCGACTTGGGGAAAATTTAATTTAATTTATTGCCAATCAAAATCAGAGTAGGATAATGAGAAATAAGAACAAATCTAAAACACCTTCCCCTCAACCTTCCCTTCTTTCCGGACTCAACTTCAGTCCTGATTTCTCTACCTTGTCCCCCACAGCGGCACAGGGGGACAGGAATGGGGGTTGGGGTCAGTTCATCACACATTCTCTCTGCTGTTCCTTCCTCTTCACACTCTTCCCCTGCTCCAGCATGGGGTCCCTCCCACGACAGACAGTCCTCCACAAACTTCTTCAAAGTGAGTCCTTCCCACAGGCTGCAGTTCCTCACAAACTGCTCCAGTGTGGGTCCATTCTTTCCAAGGGATGCAGTCCCTCAGGCACAGACGGCTCCAGCGTGGGTCCCCCGTGGGGTCACCAGCCCGGCCAGCAAACCTGCTCCAGCCTGGGCTCCTCTCCCCATGGGGCCACAGGCCTTGCCAGGAGCCTGCTCCAGCATGGGCTTCCCACGGGGTCACAGTCTCCTTCGGGCACCCCCCTGCTCTCCAGCATGAGGTCCTCCCTGGGCTGCAGGTTGGTATCTGCTCCCCTGTAGGCCTCCATGGGCTGCAGGGGGACACCCTGCATCACCATGGTCTTCACCAGGGGCTGCAGGGGAATCTCTGCTCTGGTGCCTGGAGCACCTCCTCCCCGTCCTTCTGCACTGACCCGGGTGTCTGCAGGGCTGCTCTTCCATATTCTCACTCCTCTCTCCCAGCTGCTGTTGTGGAGCAGTTTTCACCCTTTCTTAAATGTGTTATCAATGAGGTGCTACCACTGTTGCTGATGGGCTCAGCTTAGGCCATCGGCAGGACCATCTTGGAGCTGGCTGGCATTGGCTCTGTGTGACATGGGGGCAGCTTCTGGCACCTCACAGAAGCCACCCCTGCAGCTTCCCTGCTACCAAAATCTTGCCAAGCAAACCAAATAAAAGATATTTGCTGAAATTTCATTTGGCTGAGATCTGGCTCAGCCTTTCATCGGTCAAAGAATGGAATAGCCATTGCCTTTCAAGCGGTGATGTGCCTTCACTGAACTAAGGTACTTACCAAGTAGCTTTCCTGGAGCTGGCTTAGGGTTTTGCTAATAATTGACTCTGGTGCATTAATTTCTTGAGGTTAATTTTTTAAAAACAAATAGCTATAAAACATACTCAGGGTTGTATTTCTACTGAAGCAGCATATCACACAGTTGCTTTTTAACTAACCAATCTTTTTTTATTTTTTTTTTTTAAAGGAGACCGCTATCACAGAAACAGAAGTGGTCTGATTCCGGTGCCTTTCTTAATTGTAGCTGTAGTATTATTAGTAGTATTCCTATACAGAAGAGGTATGTATAGTGTTTCATAACCGAGCTTAACATGCTTCAAGATTATGCAGATCTAAGGTTCTGTAGAACCTGTGAAAGTTTCTGACTGTGGGATGTATTGTGAATACAGTAGTAGAAACAAATACAACTTATGCAAAGGCTAATAGATTTGAAGGAGGTAATATACTGAACTTGTGCTCAGACACTGGGCTCTGTGTACTGGGAAACACTGTATTTGTGTGTTTCTCCTTCAGACTGGGTATTTCATTTACTGTGTGTTTCTACTTACCAAGTATCTATGGTCTCTCCCATTCCTACCTGAGTGTGCTTTCACTGCCTTTTTTGAGAGCATCATAAAGCTGCCCTCAAGGTGAGATTTATTGTTGGGACAGGCTCATACCAGGGCTTGTTGAATACCTTATGCTGAGTCCAATCTGGCAATCCAGTGTGCTCAGCTGATACGTAGCGACTTCTGTGCCTCCTGTCAGCCCGTATTGCCGTCATCTTGGAGTTCTAGATTTGTTTCTTAATCCATCCCTACACCGAATGTGTTTATCTTTTTGTAAATCTGACAGGTAACTTGGAAATGGTAATTGTAGGCTATCACTGTGTTATCTCTTGCTGCCACTTTTTTAGGTTAGTATGTCAGGTTGTATTCTGACTTGAAAAAGAGGTGCACACCATCTCTCCTTTTTGTGTTTGAGAGAGTCCCAAACCCTGTGGGGTGATTTAAAGAGGTGCAGGACTTTACGTTTACCTTTGAATGTCATGTCTCTTCTGCCAGCACGTTCTTCCAGGTTGTTGAAGCCCCTGTGAGTGGCAGCCCTGCCCTCCAGCGTATCCCCTACTCTCCCCAGTTTGATGTCATCTGCAAACTTCCTGAGGGTGCCTTCTGTGCCCTTGTCCATGTTGGCAACGTTGAATGACACCATGCTTGGTATCAACACGTGAAGAATGTCACTTGTAACTGGCCATCTAGACTCAAAATAATACAACTACTTCCCTTGAAACAGTGAAGGTTTGAGCATGCTAGAAAATAAACTTGTTATCTCGGTAGGGTAAGCACTCCATAGGTGTAATCAAACAGAAGATGTGATTTGCTGTTTTAAGAACAAGACTCAGAGTTGTGAACTGCTAAACTCTGCTTTAGATTTGGTTTGATGTGTTCTGACTTCTTGTTGATGCAGGAGGCCTATTTTGTTCATCTCTCGCTGATTGTCTTTGCCCCAAAACAGTATTGCATGTTTTTTTTCTGTCCTCAAGTCAAGTACTCAGTTGCATGTCCTCAGTGAATTTTTTTTATTTGGGTTAGGGGGGTCAGAAATGGATAGAACCTGTCAGCTAAAAGGCACAAAAGTTTATTTCTGAGTAATTTCTCCAGATACTCTATTTGTTTTGGTGCAGATAGACATAAACATGGAACAAGAAGATCTGCTGGGAACAGTACAGGGGATTGCTCAGGTAAGAGAGCTAGTGTCACAAATGTGTGGAAATCAGACTATTGCTTTAATTTGATCTAGGCCTATACATTTTTTCTCTGTGTGTGTAGCAGTAGATTTAATTATGACCGTTGACAGTATTACCTCATCAAACTGGCAGGAGTTTGCTGTTAGTTTACTTTGGTCATATCTTGAAAATCCATCCAACACTGGTGAAGACAGGCATGTTGCTAGTCTGGTGTGTAGAACTCTGGTCCTTGCTTTTGGTGCACTACTCTGATGCATGCTTACATCCTGTGGGTCAAGTTGCAATTGTCTCCTTTTCTTTCTCTAACCCCTTTCACTTATTTCAGGAAAAAACCTGTTAGCAGCACCTTTTGACTCACTCTTACTCCATTTTTCAGGCCTGCCTTCTTGTAACAGTCAAGATGAGGGAAGGAGACACTCAGTGGAGGAACTCCTCACCTCTTTCCGTTAGTTACCAGTCTGCTGCCCACCCATGATTTCTTCATGCGATGCCCTTCTCCATGCAGCACAGATTCTCAGGGTTGTCTGCATTGCTGTCGTCTTGTCCAGATCTCCACTTGTGCTTCTGCTGTCCAGTCTAATCCTGATACTTTTTTTTTCTCTTTCCACTTCTTTAATTTGCAGCAAAATTGCTCAGTTCTCTGGCTTGCAGGTCTGTGTGTTGGGGTGTGGGAATCTCTCTATACAGTGAGCAGCTAGGGAAGGGGACAGGTCCTTTAGTCTGTGCTCCTTTCACAAGGGTGAATGAGACCAATGTGTTCCAGCTTTAATGTGTGTGCGTCTTGTTGCCAGGACCACTGTTGTCTGTTCTTATGAGCCAAAACTAAATCAGGCAGTCAAGCAGATTAGGGAGAGCAGGGGAAGACTCTTCAAAAAAAAAAAAAAATACTTTCTTGTGGAGGTCACCAAACCAAATACTGTTTCAATGGGGAATGACCAAAGCTCCTGCCATCAGATATGAGCTCGGTGCCCTGTTGGAGTGTTCTGTTGTTGAACTAACGGTGGGTTCGTGTGGGATACTTGGTCTGGTATCTTGCATGAGCTGCTGGAATTAGCACAAGGCTGGAGCAGGCTGTTTCTTGGATTGCAAACTCCTGTGTCACCCTTGCAGAGATTTTTTTGTATGTTTGATTTAATTTCTTAAGTTTTTCTTTTATTTCTGAAGTTTCTTAGTGTTTTTATGGGTTTCGAGGTTGAAAAAACGCAATGAGGTCTTTAGTGATGGGCCTGGAAAAGATAGCACAGGTAGGGAGGCAGTGCTATGAAAGCAGGGGTTTGGGGTTTTTTGTTGTTGGGTTTGGGGTTTTTTCATCCCTTTCTACCCACTCTGCCCCAATATATCAAAGCCTTA